CACATCAAACAAACTTCTTGTGCTAATCAGACGCTCCTACGAGCTCCTAGATGCAGAAGAGCTCTAGAGTTTTTAGAGACGGTGTGGTCACCGAGATTTGAAAAGGACGATAATTTAATGGAGAATGTTCAAAGACGTGCAACAAGGATAATTCCAGGCTTGAAAGGCAAGTCCTATGAAGAAAGATTAAAGATTATGAAGCTTCCAAGCTTCAGTTATCGACGTCAGCGTGGGAACCTCATTGAAGTATACAAATAATACAGGTATACTCATGATTTATACAAGGTCCCCGAAGGATTACTAGAATTTCAAAACAATAATCAACACCAGGGGCCACGGCTATAAACTAAATAAACTGCGCTGTAACTTCTCCACGCGACAACATCTCGCTTCGAATCTCCGACATGCGGAACAGCCTACCCGATGATATCGTTGGCGCTCCAAGTATGAACGCGTTCAAGAACAGACTAGATAAAGCTATGGAAAAATATATGTTCAGATTTGAAATGCCTAGCACCATATCGAACCCGGTGGAAGTCTAGTAGCTATTTCAAACTATCGTCAATCATGAAAATATCCGGTCAAATGACAAGATTTAGATCTTCTGTGAACAAGGCACGAACAGGAAAAGAATCGGCGACAGGCCACATCAGGCCTACACTTCAGCGCCGACATCACTATGTTATATTATACCGGAGTGGTGGTGGTATGAATGTCTTGAAGCTCCGCCCAGCCGTTATTTTTGACCCTGTCAGGTGACGGCCGGGGGCCGTAACCTACGTCCGCGGAGATAGCTGCAGACCGTACTGCGTGGCGATCACCACAGTAGAACAATCTTTTGTCGCGAATTTTCGAGTCCTTATATAGGCAGACGTCGCGCATGCATAAGCCCACCAAGGGACGCCGTGACAGTTTCGAGTTCCACAAAGCAAGCCCTTTAGATACCCTCGGCCATTAACAGACTCGCTCTCGCGGTTTTCTACCCAAAATTTGCGGTCAAGTCACATACTGCCTATATAAAAATAATTCCTTAACATCACTCGGGCCATCTTCACAACTTTACACAAGCTGTGTTCAAAATATAAACTTAAGTCAGAATAACGTACGGTTTATTGATGTCCGTTCAACGTCCCTAAAAAAGGTGGTGGCTATCAAGCTCAAGACTTTTTTATCCCTATTTGTTTTTTAAGGCTAAAACAGAATAAACTTGCATAACAACATTAAATTGAGCAAAATTAAACCATTTTTGCTCATAATTCATATGCATGTGACGGAACACAAGTTATGTGGACTATTTTATTGCATTTTATTTAAGAACAATGTTTTGTTTCTGACTAAACTCAAAGGATTTAAATTTTGTCTGTATAAATTATAACAATGCGTAAAAATTTTTTTTGTTTTTCGACGTAGACGAGGAACCTCATTTTCATGTGATATTATTTATCAATAGCATCAAGTTACAATCGCCTGCTAACCGTCACTCGTCGTGATATTTTACTTGTATGGGTGAGATTCGATTTGGCTAAAAGGCAGAAAATTGATCCGATTTGATATGACGTAAGAATGATCCTATTTTGCGACGTGCGGATAAGTGATCCGATTTTGCTACGTGGTGGATAAACGATCAGCTTTTGCGACATGGCGGAAAATTTATCTGGTTCTGTGAAACTTCTCATAAGTGATTAGATCTAGATATGGCGAAAGAGATATCCCATTTTGCGATATGGCGAGAAATGACCCGATCTTACAGCATGACGGAGAAGGTATCTGATTTTGCAACACGGCGGAAAATCGATCCAATTTTGCGATATGGTCGAAGAATGATTTAATTTTGCGACGTGGCGGATAAAAGATCTGTTTTTTTTTCGACGTGGCGGAAAATTTAACTGATTTTGCGATATGGCGGAGAAGCGATCCGAATTTTGTGACGTAACGAAAAAGTGAGCGATTAGTTGGGGTTGATGTTTGATCTCGTGTCTGTGTTGTAGTTCCTAATGTTCGTCTGGATTCATATTACATCGGGAAGCAAATCTGTCAACTTTATCGCTGAAGTATAACTTCTGACCAAACCAGATACTCCAATCATCCAAATCTACAGACAGGCTCAGCCGAGGATAATAAGAAATGAAATCGTCCTCCATTATTTAATCAAGACTGAAATAAAAAACACAACTTACTGTACTTCATGTGGCGCTGCAGTCCAAGATCCAAGACTAAGACTACGGTACCTGTTATTAAACAGAGTCAGGACGGGGAAGGTAAGAGGCATGGGCGAGACGAGTTAACTAAAGGGAGTATCGCCAGAGAAGCTACAAGGAAGGCCTAAAAAAAGAAGAGAGCCTTTCAATAATCAGGGGATGTCCTCGAAATTATGACCAGCTTTACATTACAATTAAAACTTCGTTCCTATTTTTTAGACCCGGTGCGAATGGACCAGAGTCGCAATTGATCAGCTTTCCAAAAGTTGCTTGCCATTGGCACACGCGACATCATCCAGCAGTTAATTGTCCAACTCTTGTGAGTTGGCAGAGACGTAACCTTACACGACTGCATGGATAATATCAACAAAAAACAATAAATTTAATAATTTAGATGACAGGAAGCATTTGGTGCCAGAATCGCGCATTCGCAAATTTGTGAGCAAGCTGATCGTCACTGCCAATATTTGAATTGATCGTCCCGATACACGACGACCCGTGATAGCCATCTGTTACACTCACCGCTTAAAAACACGATTGCAGTTGCGCGCGCACATGAAATCTGTTCGTGAATCAAGCTCGGGATTAAATTCCTGCCCAAGCACAAACTACTTTCATGCAAGATCAATCGAACCATTGATTGATTTTGTCGAGTATTTCCCTTCAGGTCAAGAAAGAGCTTAACATTGACACAAAGGAGAGAAAAACAGAATACAAGGCAAATTAAAATGAGTATATGGCGTTCTGGTAAAATTTATATTCGTAAATACAAGATAATGAAAATATTGCAAAGGAATGAACAACCGAAATATAACTCAACATGGTCATTACCGTTACTCCTTCCAAATAAAAATACGAGTATTGTTCATAACCCAATACGAAAAAATTGAACGCACTCTCCGAGTGAGAGCGTTGGATACTCAAGCGGTTACTATGTTGGGATCTGTTCGATGAAATACAACAAAGAATTTACCTAAAGAAAACAGTATCAAGTAACCACGTTCGTCGAGTAAAGATGTATACGATTTCCTTTGGACTGTAGAAATTTGTTCTTCCTAGAAATAAGTTACGCGTTACAAGCAGCTCCCGAACGCGACGTAAAGGCACGTTTCACCAAATGGTACCTAGCTAATAGCCACCATAATGTGAGTAGAGAGTCAACAAATGATCCGTAATGTCTCATTAAAATCATTCCACATAGCGTAAAAACTAAAGGAGGATGTTGAGTTTGACGCTACGCTGAAAAACAAATAAACATGAGACACTATAAAACAATCAATGATTACCAGAATTTACATAAGGACTCAACGCTGCATTTCTTATGATGGCGTCGCAAATAAGTCATTGAGCAAATTACTTGGACATGAAAAATGCGTTTGTGCTTCCTCACCAACGAATAAAATAAAATAAACATAGATTTAAATTATCCCATACGAGCTACGGCTAAAATAATTAGACTACATGACGGATTATACAAGAGATGAAGGAGCTTAACTATATAGATGAGGCTGTCATGCTCACGTACATGAAATGCAGACGGTCACGCACACGTTCTTACGTCAGAGTAAAATGCGCACACACACAACGTAAAAACGTACACGCACAACGTAAGAACGTACACACGAAAGAAATAAAAACTCACACACGCACAACATGACAACGCACACACCAACAAAATAAAAACATACACATCCGCAACACAGAACGCACACAGGCGCAAAATCAAGACGCACACAAGTACACAAGAAGCAACACACACAACACACAAGTACACCAGAAGCAACACACACAGCACACAAGTACACCAGAAGCAACACACACATCACACAAGTACACCATAAGCAACACACACAGCACACAAGTACACCAGAAGCAACACACAGCACACAAGTACACCAGAAGCAGCACACACAGCACACAAGTACACCAGAAGCAGCACACCAGAAGCAACACACACAGCACACAAGTACACCAGAAGCAACACACACAGCACACAAGCACACCAGAAGCAACACACAGCACACAAGTACACAAGAAGCAACACACACAGCACACAAGTACACCAGAAGCAACACACACATCACACAAGTACACCATAAGTAACACACACAGCACACAAGAAGCAACACACACAGCACACAAGTACACAAGAAGCAACACACAGCAATAAGAAGTATGGCGCTGAAGTAAGTCTAATGAGAAGATATTATTTGTATTGGCTCGTCGCACGTCACAGCTTCACTAATGCCGGGCGTCGGGAGCACGTGTCCAGCCGTGTTCCATGTACTGCCTCAAATATAGACACGTAACACAAACTGAAACATAAACAACAAGTTGAATTTTACCTCAAAAACAATCAATCTTAACAAGTCCAAGAAGTAGCAATGTAGATTTGGTCGAAGCACATACAATAGGAGTATTTGTAAAAAATACTGGTCTTACAAAAACACATAATTTGAGGTCATGAATGCTCGACTCCTCAAGAAACGAATCCGATACTTATTCGGGCATGAGTATTTACAGAGAAAAAGCTAAAAAAATTCGAACACTCGAACTAGAAAATCAGCGAAAATAAATTAAATACTGTGTCTGCTATGAGATACATGAATATTGCAGTTTACTCTTCATGCAAAACATAAAGTGTAAGTGAGAGTAAAGAAAGCTTATGGTTTCCTATTGTACAAAATTCAAGATTATCGACCATGAATAAAATAGAAAGACACACATTATGAACTACGGGCACGGCAGGGCTGAAAGCGAGATACACCGATGTACCAGAGTACTTATATGATACGGTCTATGTACAAAAATAATTACCATGTACGGTCTTAGATGTTACACAAGAAGGCTCATACACTCGCTATCAATTACTCTCGGTTTAGTCGTTCTCATGTATATGGAAAACTCAAAACTCGTACCGAAAATGGCAAGTATTTCCATCAAATCTCACCTAACGCTCTTGAACAGAACGAGAATTGCTGGAGTAGCACTGCAATCAAAGTGGGTTCAACATTGCAGTGCCCAGAGCTAGATGCTACATTGCTGGCACCCAGAGCTGGATTCAGAGGCCCAGAAAGCTCATAAATAAAGCTCCACCAAGAGATTTGATAAAACGAATCAAAGAGCTTGGGCACACGTAAGGAAGCACGCACAGGTAAATGCTACGCGCTGCACAAAATCTATAATAAGGATCTTTGATTGAATGAACTTCAACACCAAAAGGGTATTAAAGTAAGAATTTGTGCAGAACTAATCGTAGGTTTCGGCACCTCTAGTCATTTTATATCGACTATAATTCAATGGAATTGTGACGATTGTTTGTGATGTCTTCAGGAACAGGTTTTGTTCAGTTAGTATTGTTCCAGGGTTTAAAAATTCGTTTAACAGATACATATTGGTTTCGCACTTGCACATGTTCATATGATCTCCAGCTCTGAAATCACTTTTTTTACATAATTTTCATTAAATTGCGTATCGATTTTGCATAATTTCTGCAACACAAGACATGATAAGATCAAAGGATTAGAAGATTAAAGAACGAGAAAAGGTAAGGATGTGACGAAGACGAAAAGATGTGAAGTGGACGGGATGAAAGATTGGATGATTTGCAGTGTAGAAGATAGGCAAAAAATGGGATGCGAAGAGAAGACAATTTTCTGCGTAGAAGATACAATGAGTACGTAGGAAGGAGACATGCAGAGTAGCGGATACAGAGAATAGGAGATGTGCAGAGAATGTTGTGCAGAGGTAAGCCTAGTAGGCGACGCTGGCCTCCTTGTACTCCGAGCCGTCCAGAGTAAAGAAGTCTTCTAACTTCCACTGCAACGTCTCGAACGTCGGCCGCTTCATCGGGTCCTTGTACCTGTGAGCAACGGACGTGAGTTAGCGAGGTGAAGGAAGCGCCAACATGGCGCGCACGGCTAGGATTAAGGAAGCATGGACGTGGACGGCCAAGTCGGTGCATCAGCGTGACGGTGGACTAGGAAGTCCCAAACTCGTCATAAGGTAAGGTCATGCACGCGCGGAAGCATGCGCATACATCATCCTTATTACGTTCATCATTCACCATCATCAAAATTACGTTCATCATTCACCATCATCACAATTGCGTTCATCATTCACCATCACGACAATGAAGTCCATCAATACCTATAACCACCATATATACATACATTACTTTCCGAACAACAAATGCAAGTAACCACGTGGCGCCATCGGTAAGCCATACTGATTTCGTAGCACAGATACCCTGATATTACGAGACACAGTGCCATCAGCACCGTGTCATCTCATATGCGTGTCAGGATCGCAATCAAATTGGATTCTACCAACAGCCAAAAAAAAAGGTGATAGAGGACGTAAATATGCAGAATAATAGTGTAACAATATTAGAATTACTAAATAATAATAAGACAAATGGCCGCGATCATTACCAGCACTCCATCATGATCTCGTGGAGGGCAGGGGGGCAGTTGGGGGGAGCGGGCATCCTGTATCCGTGCTCCACTTGGTGCAGCACCTCAGCGTTCGTCATGCCTGCAATAGCAACATCATAATAATGTCTACAGGACTCTTGCATTGATGTAGGAATGGGGTAAGATGAACTAGAGTCCTCTTACAGCAATGTTGAAACTCACATTAACCTCTACAAGAGCATTAAGATGACGGAGGTAGGGCGTGAGACGAATTACAGCCGTCTGACAGTAACATTGTAAAGTAGTGTGGTGACACGTTAAAATGTAGACATCTATTTGAGAATCATGATTTAATCAAAATAAAAGCTTGCCTAAAACCAGGATAAATCAGAATTACGTAGTCTTTAATTTCTACCACACACACACCACCCACCAGGGTAAGGAATCCTGCCGTAAGTGACGAGCTCAGTGAGCAGAATACCGAAGCTCCAGACGTCGCTCTTGATGGAAAACTTGCTGTAGTTGGCGGCCTCAGGGGCCGTCCACTTGATAGGGAACCTCGCCCCGACGCGCGCCTCATACTCACATCATTCACCATCATCACAATGAAGTCCATCAGTCCCAATAATTACCATAAATACCAACATTACATTCTGAACAAAAAATGCAAGCAACCACTTGGCGCCATTAGTACGCCATATTGTTTGCATAGCACAGATACACTTAAATTACGAGATACAGGGCCATCAGCACCGTGTCATACCAATAGCCAAAAAAATGTGATAAAAGACATAAATATGCAGAATAATGGTGCAACAAAATTATAATTACTAAATAATAACAGGACAAATGGCCGCGATCATTACCAGCACTCCATCATGATCTCGTGGAGGGCAGGGGGGCAGTTGGGGGGAGCGGGCATCCTGTATCCGTGCTCCACTTGGTGCAGCACCTCAGCGTTCGTCATGCCTGCAATAGCAACATCATAATAATGTCTAACTACAGGACTCTTGCAATGATGCAGGAATGGGGTAAGATGAACTAGAGTCCTCTTACAGCAATGTTGAAACTCACATTAACCTCTACAAGAGCATTAAGATGACGGAGGTAGGGCGTGAGACGAATTACAGCCGTCTGACAGTAACATTGTAAAGTAGTGTGGTGACACGTTAAAATGTAGACATCTATTTGAGAATCATGATTTAATCAAAATAAAAGCTTGCCTAAAACCAGGATAAATCACAATTACGTAGTCTTAAATTTCTACCACACACACCACCACCCACCGGGGTAAGGAATCCTGCCATAAGTGACGAGCTCAGTGAGCAGAATACCGAAGCTCCAGACGTCGCTCTTGATGGAAAACTTGCTGTAGTTGGCGGCCTCAGGGGCCGTCCACTTGATAGGGAACCTCGCCCCGACGCGCGCCTCATACTCGTCCTCCTGTCGGGGACAACATCGTCGTGAGTGTCTCGTCAGACACACAGGTAACACAGAAGGTATCACAGAAGGTAACACAGAAGGTAACACAGAAGGTAACACACAGGTAACACAGAAGGTAACACAGAAGGCCACAGCTTTCTGAATTCTAAAACCCATCGAGGATCCCTGACTAGATATTTTCTAACTGCAGAGATGAAAACTGAACGTAAGGGAGAATAATTACCGAGTTTTATCAAATTGGAATGAAGATAAGGATCAGGAGACTAACTACACTATACTGCACCTCACGGAGTCAGAATAACAGGAAAAAAATCTAGCAAAAAGACAGAAATAGCGTAATGAATGGTAGCGTTACACAATAAAGAGCACATTCATTTTCTAAATAATTTAGGAAGGAGATTAAAAGTTTTGCTTAAATTCAGATAGTTAAGTAAAAACATTAGTAATGATTTATTTATCACTCTGATAAATTAAAATAAAAGGCAGCACATTCACGTTTATAGTTTTGTTTGTGTCATAATACAGGCATCAATCAAGTAATAATTAGCGTCCGAGTGCAGTTAAGAATGAGATAAAGTTGGCAGATTTGCTTCCCGATGTAATATAAATCCAGACGAACATTAGGAACTACAACACAGACATGAGATCAAACATCAACCCCAACTAATAAATGCCAACCATAGAACAGTTTTTTATGAGGCAAAGACAGAAAACAACGTCACATTTGGAACAACGGAAACAACGCCACAAAACAACATTTAGAACATAACCCCCAGTCTAAACATTATGGTTTAATTAAAAATACACGTCAAAACGGCAAAAAGTTTTCAAAATAAAGTCGAGTTTAGTGACCAAAGAAAAGAGGCACACTAAGAAAGAAATAACACTGCCGATTGTAGTAGCTTTAATGTTTTAGCTACAATAGAAAATTTCACACATCCATTAGAGTTTACCGTGATACAATTTAAAGCTAAAACAAAATAGATGGAAATTTTCAAACCAATGCAGGTTTGATTAACTACGTCTTTCACACCCGTGAGATTTCAACATAATAATTCCAAAACGAGCAATCACGAACTAGAAGAAACTACAATTTGATGAAAACTCCGTTAAAAAGATGATATAGTAATACTCGATGACGGCTAAACACTGGGAAAAACCAAGAGAACTGAATGCATTCGCATAGACACTGAAATGTTGATTTTTACATTATGAGACATTATGCTCGACGTGGATATGAGAGGAAAATGACATTATGTTTCGCATGGTCAAGACAACCGGTGGAATTATGCTCCATCTTCTTATTTATGATCTTCCACTAGTTCATTCTCCAACAGAATTAGCAATTACATTAACGGTAGTAGAACATTCAAACGGGTGAGTCGAAGCGGAGTGTTGTGCTGGTAGTGTGAAAACAACTGCAAATAAAATGATGAGGTATTTGTTGGTATTGTTAGGGTATCCATAACTCTAATGATGAGCTTATGGTGCCAGAGGAAAGGCAAACGTCACATTTGGAACAACGGAAACAACGCCACAAAACAACATTTAGAACATAACCCCCAGTCTAAACATTATGGTTTAATTAAAAATACACGTCAAAACGGCAAAAAGTTTTCAAAATAAAGTCGAGTTTAGTGACCAAAGAAAAGAGGCACACTAAGAAAGAAATAACACTGCCGATTGTAGTAGCTTTAATGTTTTAGCTACAATAGAAAATTTCACACATCCATTAGAGTTTACCGTGATACAATTTAAAGCTAAAACAAAATAGATGGAAATTTTCAAACCAATGCAGGTTTGATTAACTACGTCTTTCACACCCGTGAGATTTCAACATAATAATTCCAAAACGAGCAATCACGAACTATAAGAAACTAATATTTGATGAAAACTCCGTTAAAAAGATGATATAGTAATACTCGATGACAGCTAAACATTAGGAAAAACCAAGAGAACTGAATGCATTCACATAGACACAGAAATGTTAATTTTTACATTATGAGACATTATGCTCGACGTGGATATGAGAGGAAAATGACATTATGTTTCGCATGGTCAAGACAACGGGTGGAATTATGCTTCATCTTCTTATTTATGATCTTCCATTAGTTCATTCTCCAACAGAATTAACAATTATATTAACGGTAGAACATTCAAACGGGCGAGTCGAAGCGGAGTGTTGTGCTGGTAGTGTGAAAACAACTGCAAATAAAATGATGAGGTATTTGTTGGTATTGTTAGGGTATCCATAACTCCAATGATGAGCTTATGGTGCCAGAGGAAAGGCTGGCACAATGATGTGGTGATGGTGAATGAGTTAAGGCAAGAACATTGCTGTGGTCATGATAATGAGTGAAGGCAGGCACAATGATGTATGTGGCCATGGTGAATGAGTGAAGGCAGGCACAATGATGTATGTGGCCATGGTGAATGAGCGGAGGCAGTCACAATGATGTATGTGGTTATGTGGTCATGGTGAATGAGTGAAGGCAGGCACATTGATGTATGTGGTCATGGTGAATGTGTGAAGGCAAGAACATGTGACGAGCACGAGTGCAATATAGCACGAGAGCCAATGCAAGAGCAAAAGCATAGATCATTTAAGTGATAGTTTATTAGAAAAAGAGCAGCACAGAACGTGAATAATTGATGAGCACAAACAAACAGACCACTGGTATAAGTATTCAAACAACTGGCTTTAAGAAGGGAGAAATTTGCTTGAGGTATAAGCAATAAAAACAGAACGGCGGGCGACAGTTCTGTTCTTACCTGTCCCTGTATGACGAGAAGTGAGGGAGGTGTGTGTGAGAAGAGGAGAAGGCGTCGTCAAGTAGAACAACAGCAAGAAGAGAACCAATAAATACGGACAAAGAGTGAGTAACAGAACTGGTTATCTGAGTGTAGGCGCAACTCCTAAATAATGGCAAATAGTAAAAGACATATTATTGGAGTGAAGGCAACAAAACGCGAGCATTTCACACTAAATCTAGTGTGTTGGAATGTCATATGTGCGTGTCCTGCTCGAGCAATCGTACATCGTCATACATTGTAATTTTAGAGTATTTCACTATGAAAATACTCAATATACTTTATTCTCGATGGAAGGCATAGGAGTGTAAGTAAAATTATATTTAGCTTCAAGAAATGAATAATAAGAATTGTAGAGTTTTAGCAACCGATTTAATTGACCCGTCAAAGGAACTCTCACGTGCAGATTTTTTCGTGGTTAGTCCCGATGTATTTGCCCTACAATAATACTTCAAACCATTTGATTTCGTTTTTGCTCGTAAACAACTAGTAGAATCAAATCTCATTCTCAACTAAAGAGAGCAGCTCTGAGGATAAGCCTGCTGAGTATAAGCTCTGACCATCATTACGCTGTTAGAAAAATTACCGTTAACGGTATTACCGGCGTTTCAGTGGCCGGTCAGCACGTGAAAAGAAAAACAGTGTCGCCGTTTTTATTCTAATTTAACACTAGACATTCGTAAAACCTCTGATATAAACGGCGAAACCGTTTATTTTCACGGGGCGACCGGCCACTAGAACGCCAGTGGGACCGTTTTTTCACCGTTTTTTCTAACAGTGTAGCGTTATTGTGATGCGCATGTTCAGCATTATAGCAGCAGAGACCAGCACCTGAATCACCTGGCTTCAGTACGTATGCATCACAATAGTCTTGGATACGATAAACACAAAAGAAATATACAGAATATAGAAATAGTGGCTACACCAGCAAGTTTGAGTGACCGCAATGAACGAGATAACCACTATCCGTGAAGGCGAACGCGTTCTACAAGAAAGTTAAACAAGCGACACTGCAGCTGGGGCGGTGCTTCTGGTTCCCGTTGTAAAAGATAATCAGTGTGCACAACAAATTGTTCTATTGGTATTGGAAATAAGTACACATTGTACAAGTTCCATAGGAAACAGAACTATTTTCCATACTTAAACGATAGTAATATGAGCTAAACTAAGTCCCCTACCAAGTTCCAGTAATTACCCTATAGAATTGAGAAAAATTAAAAAGACGAATTACCTGGTGTTGAAGGATGCAATAATTTTATGTCATTGATATTCGTTGATATTTAAGCTGTAGTACCTTAAACGTAAACGATTTAGATGTTTCTAGAATTCAAATGTTACAAAGGTATATTTCCAAAAGCACCAAGCAATTCATTAGTTGAGATACAACTTAAAGCAGCATAAGCTCTAAAAATGAGAGTTGAATACTACAATACTATCCAGTGGTCAGAAACAAGCGTGGACTGGCACTGCCATCAGGGAGGCATACAGGCATCCAGTGCCTCAATGAGTAGCACGGCGCCTTAAGGCCTTTGTTCGGCTCTACAGTGGCCTTACTAGAGTCGATGCTAATAGCTAAATTAATTTTATTTAAATAAACTCCAACAATAAAGAACTACAACAACCCAATACGTATAATTCCATCTTGACGCATACTTTTCCCTCTCCAATACGTAATTTACTCTAATAATTATGAAAAATCTACCCAACCTAACAAACAAGCTACAGTAGTCACGGATCTTAGGCACAAAGAACTCCCCTTAATTATACCTACTATATACTATACTACATTTTCTATAATAATTGTAATAAATCTACCCAACCTAACGAACATGCTATAGTATTCATGGCCCTCAAGTGCAAATAAGTCACCTTAATTAGCCGCGCCAGTCCGAAGTCGGCGATTTTGACGACATTGTTGTCACCCACGAGGACGTTTCTGGCCGCCAGGTCGCGGTGGATGTAGTTCTCTGACTCGAGGTAAGCCATGCCAGCTGCTATCTGTGCCGCCATGTCGATCAGGATGTTCAGTTTCAGGGATCGTCCCTTGCCTGTCAAATGTCTTCAATTAATATATTTACAAACAATTATTAAGCTATTAACATATTTATTTATTTACCCATCAAAAGTATGACGGCAAATCAGTGAAGCCTACTTTAAATTAGATATATACTGAACTTTAACTAAGACTCTAGCTTGTAAAATAATCAATTTACCATTGAAATTACAATGGCATATTAGTCAAGCCGATATTTTTTAAATATGTTATGTTCACTAATGAAATTCATGATTTAAAAGCCTCCTGTCTACATGCAATTAAAGAAACCTTGTTGTTCAAAGATAAAATAACAATCATTGACCATAAACCACGTCCTCAAAGCTACAGACTCAGACAATATGAAAAGTTCAAAGGTATTTCTAGACGCGCAACCTTGCAAGTGTTCCAGCAGCGAGCCATTCTTCATGAGCTCCGTGATGATGTAGATGGGTTCCTCCAGCGTACACACGGCGTACAGCTGGATGAGTTTGCCGTGCCGCAACTTTTTCATGATTTGTGCTTCTGTCAGGAAATCCTTGGGATCCATTGTACCTGTAACACATAAAACATTAGCATTAGCACACACATTGTACCTGAAACACATAAAATATTAACACACATCACACACACACACATTGTACCTGCAACACATAAAATATTAGCATGCAAATACTATAGCAGAAATACACACAGGGAATGACCTAAGAAGGAAAAGAAGAAACTGGCAGGAACGTAACATATGAGCAGAGAACAATTTTTAAAACTCATCAAAATTCAATACTCGATTTTTACGGCATAACCACAAAACACCGGAGGCTTCCTTGCCACAGAAATTAATTACCGGGGTCCTTTTCCAAACATGGCGGTATCGCTCCTGATTCATTCAAGATTTGTAAGAGTTGGCACGAATAACAGTGTAGGTAGTATTAAATTATCATTATCATTAAAATTAGCTACAACATATAAGCAATACCAATGCAACTCTAGTGAATTCCAAATATAATTTACCTGGCTTGAGTGTCTTGATGGCCACAGGTGTTGTGTTGTTCCACAAGCCTTCCCAGACCTCGCCGAACTGTCCGTGTCCGAGCTTACGGACGAACTTCAGAGACGAGCGTTCGATCTCCCACTGATCGCGAGTGCTGTGCGACAAGCCTGCTGTCACCGGTTTCTCGACCTGCACAGGAAATCCATTCTTTCAATCGTTCTGTGAAAGAATATTTAGTTTATTTAAATTAGACTCTGCTACCACTTCGACATATCATGTGTGGGTTCGATTTCACATAGTTTGTTATTGCTGAGAACGGTATCATACAAGGGCAAAAAGTGCATTGCTATCTAGACTAAAATCTCCGTCTTTTCTCTGAATATGCAACAAGATTTCATAGAGCCTCGTGCAGGGAAAGTAACTCACCGCCTGCAGCGTTGAAGGGAGCAGAGCGGAGGCAGGAGGGCGCCATAGGGAGAGGGGAGAACAGCAACCAGTTAGTGAGGATACCACAGAGAGAGCACCACAAGTTATTATAACAGTCAACACTCAACGCAGTACATCGGAAGTTAATACTATCTGCTGTGCCTGGCTATATACGAGTCTAAGTGCACCTGGAGATATATACGAGTGCAAGCGCACCTGGCAATATAGGAGTCTAAGTGCACCTGGCAATATAGGAGTGTATGTGCACCTGATTGTATAGGAGTCTAAGTGCACCTGGAGATATATATGGGTGCAAGTGCACCTGGCAATATAGGAGAGTAAGTGCACCTGACAATATAGGAGTGTATGTGCACCTGATTGTATAGGAGTCCAAGTGCACCTGGAGATATATATGGGTGCATGCGCACCTGGCAATATAGGAGTCTAAGTGCACCTGACAATATAGAAGTGTAAGTGCACCTGATAATATAGCAGTTTAAGTGCACCTGATAGGCTGATATAGGAGTGTAAGTGCACCTGATAGGCTGATATAGGAGTGTAAGTGCACCTGATGATATAGCAGTTTAAGTGTACCTGATATAGGAGTCTATGTTCACCTAACAATATAGGAGTGAAAGAACACCTGATATAGGAGTCTAATTGCACCTGGAAATGTAGGATTGAACGTGCACCGGATAATATACGAGTGTAAGTGCACCTGGCATAAAGGAGTGTAAGTGCACCTGGCAATATAGGAGTCTAGGTGCACCAGCATATAGGGGTCTAGGTGCACCTGGCATATAGGGGTCTAGGTGCACCTGGCATATGGGAGTCTAGGTGCACCAGGCATATAGGGGTCTAGGTGCACCAGGCATATAGGGGTCTAGGTGCACCTGGCATATAGGGGTCTAGGTGCACCAGGCATACAGGGGTCTAGGTGCACCTGGCATATAGGGGTCTAGGTGCACCTGGCATATAGGGGTCTAGGTGCACCTGGCATATAGGGGTCTAGGTGCACCAGGCATATAGGGGTCTAGGTGCACCTGGCATATAGGGGNGATCAGCAAAAATGAACAAGTGATGTATGGCTGTCTCTTATACACATCTAGATGTGTATAAGAGACAGGGTGAAGACTTTGCAGTGTATCTTTTCTCCTAGGTTCAACGGAATTGGGTTTGCTAGTAATTCTGCAGTCATCTCTGGCACAGATATATCAGAGATGTATTTTTCTACCCAACTCTACATTCTAAACTAAATCTATCTAACTCTAGCTAAATTATTCAAAATCAGGGTTCTACGAGATCCTTACTTTTCTTTCATTGTTTAGACTAAGAATTTCATAGGCTACTTCAACAATTACACAAGTTTAATTTGATGGTTACTTGCTTCATGCACGGCTGCTACTTGCTTTCAAACAAGACTAGACTGCTAATTGAGGCTTTGCACCAGATACGGTACTTCAATATGCCGCCATTGACCATTGTTTTCAGCTCAATTGGTCCTTTCCAGTGTTCAATTGAAGCTAGTGATTGTCAGACCAACCTTCCCAACCCTTCCGCTCAATGACTTCCAGACAAAGGCTCATGAAGACTAGCTGCCAGTCTCGTTTCTTGTCAAGCTTTGGCTCCTTGCTTGTAGCATGCACATCCAGCTCAAGACATGTGAAGCAATCACTCCGTCAGAAGCTTCCGCCCGCACCATTGATGCAGCTAGAAACAACCAAGTCCTGCCTAAAAGGCTACCACCAATAGCTACCTGACAAGTCCAACAATTACACTTCGCTATGGTTCAGCTCTGGTCAAAGCAATGTAACCCCATATTAAAGAATGTTCTTAGAGTGAGGCGCTCCTTTCTTTTCATGCCTCTATCATATAGACCTGAGCCGCCCTTAGTTTAGTTGAACTTTACGTATCTGGCACAACAAATAATAAGAAAATCATAATGCCAACAGCCACGCACCAGACAAGGAGTAATCATTTCGTCTGCTCTCGGAGTCGCGTATCAGGAAAGATCCGTGGTCATTTTCAGCTTGTAACAGTTTCTTCTCTGCTTCAATTCTCTTAATTTTGCCGAAGTACCATCTGAAAAAAAAATTCGTGATATATTCTGCCTTACTTCCTATTAAAAAGTGATGATTTGTTCAAGCCTTGATACACAAGTAAGTAAATGAAGAGCTGTGTCTTCTCAACAGTTCGTGTATTATCATTGTATTATTAATATTATTATTTTGTAATTATTATTATATTGTAATTATATTATATATAATTATTGTATTATTAATATTATCTTGCATTATTGTATAATTATAGTCAATACATGCTTGCGCACAATCACCTTACATTTCATGCTCAACTAATTCTGCTATCTAGCTAAAACCAGTCTTTTGGAATTTCAAAATTTTCGTCTACCTGTGACAGAAATCTGCAAGATCTAATCGTCACCCTGCACACGATACTCACGGCTCAGCTTCAATGCTTTTTAATTTGGCAACATAATTTGAAGGGATATATCCTTCTCTCTTTGTTCCTCTGGACCGAGCAAACCACCAGTCGCCCTGCGTGTCATCCAAGATCTCCAGATGCTCCCCCTTCTTAAAGCTCAAGTCTTCGTCTGTACGAGCATCGTAGTCGTACAGGGCAACAAATATCTGCACAAGTTTAAGATAGCAAGACGAACCAATTATTGTGTCCATGGATCAAGACTTTTTGTATGCAAATAATTGGGTTTGTTAACCCTTAGATGAGTACCCAGCCTAAAGAATTATTTTCTGTAATTTAGTGCGTGCTCCAAGACTTCACTGGGGAAATTTATTCAGTAATAGTAACTGTTAAAATAACTAGTGAAACAAAAAGCTAAAAAATAACTTCAAGTAATTATCAAGCTTTGAATTTTCACGGAGCCACAATATTTTTGGAAAAATTAACACACAAGATACATTAACATGATCATCTTAAGCTGGTAATAGCTTACAAGACTCATAGTAAACTGTCATCATTATTCAAAAGTCCCATCCCTAATAATAAGAATGTCTTCTTCAAAAAGATATTGAACCTGATAAATGCAGCTAATTTTGCCAGCATGTAAAATTATTGCATAATTCAGATATAAAACAAAAGAGCGTTAAAAGTTGCAGAGGTATACAACAATTTCCTGACAGCCTAAAAAGCTGTCACGTCATCCGTCCTTTGTTACAAACAAAACTATCCAGCAGTGAGGGCTGAGCTAAAAAACAAAAGACAGCGAAGTACTGAACATTTTCAAGTGAATTGCATTAGCACTCATCAGTCCCTTGCGTAAGTTGATGATGGGGGGGGGCTTCGAGGTTTATTCAACTCAATGAATTACTATATTCAGACATTTCATGTGCAACTTGTGGAGAGCATAGTTTTTTTTTTCTCTGAACTGCATGAGAAACAATGAAGAATCAAATGAAATAATTGACATGCATCAACTAAAGACGCAATACAGCCAACTGTGACCAGTAGCTTTATTTTTTTCCTCTAAAAATTCACCAATTTTTATTTATAATGGGTTTCAGTTTTCATGTGAATATGATGTTATTTATTGAGCTTAATGTATGTGGTACAAAAAGCGAAATCTCACATTTAAACAAGATTTTGATTCAAATTTTCATAAAACTTCAAATTTATAAACATATCATAAAGACTAGAAGTAAACAGAATAATAATTAATGTGTACAATTCAATTCCTTTTATATCCCCACTGAGTACAAACCTTGCCAGAAAGTGTAGAGTTGCTTTCATTGTCAGGTAAGGAGGAAGGTAGTGACCCCATGCCATTGACACGGCCACCAGCTCCCACCCCCACGCCTGAAGTTGTTACGGGGCCTACACCCGCAGCCTGGCTCACACCGACCCCACTGTCAGACAATAGACCACTGCCAGCTGACCGACCTCCGAGGGATGGGTCTGTCAATGACTGGTTGGCTTGTGATGGCACTGTCACCTGCAAACAGATTTTATGAGAAAAGCATGAGAAATCCTATTAAAATTTTATAACAGATTTCTGTAAATAACAATTCAGGTTAATTTCTGATTAACAGCAATAATTTCTGATTAACAGCAATTAATAGATTTCTGATTAACAGCAATATGTACAACTGGGGAAGGGAAATACTATTAACATTGCACAATGTGCTTCACTGAATACATATATATACATAGTATCTGAATGAGACACACACATATCCAAATGAGATGCACACATATCTGAATGAGTGCACATAAATTTGAATAGAATCAATATTGATAATCTGCAATCAAGGTAAGTGAGTCAATAGTAAAATAATTGTTCTATGACTACCTTGATATTTTTGCCTTTTGAATTGGCAGAAGAAGATGAATCACCAGAAGATGAATCTTTGGAAATTTTCTTGACAAACCAATTCCAAATTTTCTGGAAAGCTGCCATTATTCACTCACAAAATGTCCACAAGGTATAATAATTGAATGATAAATTTTTCAGAAAAACTTTTAGATTCTCAATCCTAAACATAGCTATCTCTTGAGGAATTGTAACAACAACTTTCTTTCTGCCAATCTTGGGAAGCACTGTTAATACATGAACAACTTTTATATTAGTAAACAGAAAAATTTCACAGGAAGTTTTCTGTGGTTATAAGAATGAACATCTGGAACACATTTGAACACAATGATATGCCTCAACTAAGCATATGTTACTGAGCTCACAACAAGGAGGCACTTTTTACCAAGCTCATATCTTGCAACTATCTTTGCCACTATCTCTATGTTATCAGTAATGAGGCATTGAGATAAGAATTCAAGCTGTGCAATGCCTATGTGGGCTAATTTTCAATACTCCTGGCTGAGCACATGGAACCTCATACATGAACACATGAATGAATTCCAGCCATGGACGTTGAACAGCATTGCATTACTTATCAAGGTTTGTCTTGCATAGATGCATATTTGATAATGAACATTTTAACGGGGCCCTTAGATCTGGACAAATAGAGAGAAGTTATCTAGAATAGAAGAATGCCACATGATTCTTCAGAGAGAAAAGTGTTCTATTCCTTGTATAATAACTTAATATAGAAAAAAATTGAGTTCACATGAATCTCAAATTATAAAATGCCCAATATGCATGAATAATATTGGCTCCCTGCCAAGTGCATGTACGTACATATCTTCTAAAAACATGAAATGGTTAGGTACCTAAGCTAGGTTAACAGTTGATATTTTTAGCAATAATTAGCAACAGTTGATATTTTTAGCAATAATTAGCAACAGTTGATATATTTAACAATGACATAGGCAGCACCCTAAAAATGCAGGTGTCAGAAATTATTAACCTGCATACCTATACCGTAAAATGGGGTTACTTTGACCACTTTTCGTTTTTTTTAACAAAAACCCCCAAAACTCAAAAACTATTTGACATAGAAAAATTTTGTCAATGGCCACAAAAGGCCTAATACTGAGGCTACGTAACACAATAGAAAGATTTAAAAAGTTTGCATATCTAATAGGTTGAAAAATTAAAAATGTGACCCACGAAATAGAGCTATTATTTAAAGCCTGTCAGAGTACCCCCTCCAATTTTTTTATTTGTTGGTAAAATAACTCCAGGTTTTGATGCATTGTAGTAGAACTCTTCTAGTTACATATGCAAATGACAAATATGTCATTTGCATATGTAACTAGAAGAGTTCTACTACAATGCACCAAAACCTGGAGTTATTTGGAGTTATTTTACCAAAAAATAAAATTGATTTTATCACCCGGTCAAAGAAACCCCCAGGAGCATGGGTAACAAAAACCATCACTTTTTTTTGCGCATTTTCATCAATATTATTTACTAACTTTACTTCAGATAATGCTGAAAATAAAACAGGGCTTAAGAATAATTCTCCCATGATGAGTTTTCAAACATGTCATGTCATTTATAAAATGTTCATGGTTCATAAGTGTGAATTACTTTCATAAATGAGGCAGGATTTTGCAAACTTAGGCCTGTTATGCATCTGTCTCTTATACACATCTAGATGTGTATAAGAGACAGAGGTAGATGTAATCAAAATTCCTTGTTGTTAATCCATTCTGCTCATTAACTGGATCCTTTGCTAACCAAGGTTCTACTGTAAATGAGTCTTTAGGGGTGTCCCTTATTACCCCATCTTGCAGACATGGCTGCCATTTTTTTTTTTTTTTTGATTGAGCAATGCAGATACCTTCATTAAAGTTTCTAAACCAACACTCATTTTTTAATTTTTTACATGTAATTTTTTTAATAGGGCAAATATTGAAGAATAAGAATTTTAATTTTGATAAAAATGACTCACTCCAAAAACAAGGGTTTTTTCCCCAGTTAAATTGCTTGGATTACTCAGATTTGAAGTGACGTTCATTTCTAAATTGAAATTTATTTAGCCAGTATTTCTTGCTCGAGAGATACTATGAAGTTTCTCAATGTTAACAGCATTAAAATCCATGCAGAAACATAAATTTTTAATGTTTCAGGCTGAGATTTAGGCTCCTAAAAAACTGAAACCAAGCTTTTTAATTCCAAATTAAAAATTCTCAATCAATCACGCTGCTGCAGCTGCTGCCACAGCTAGCTGAATCTAGCCCATTTTTACCAAGGGATGCCAATACATGTTAATGCAGTTTTCAGTGGGTACAAAAGTACCTTGAATTATTGATTGCTTATTTTATGCATTAGGTACATGTTTATGCTTCAAATTCATCATTGAAGTTGTATCTCCATATTTCCTTCCAAGTGAAATTCATCACTTGAAATCATGATTTTCAAGGAAAACATGAAAAGTTGTCACGTGAATTCTCCATACACACACGAGAACTAGTCATGAGAAGAAAGAATAAGTTAATACAAAAAGTAATTAGTAATATAAATAGGGTTTGTACCGGTATTTAGAACAAAAATTCCATGACTTTTCCATGACTCTCCTTGACCATCAATATAATTTTCCAAGTTTCATATATGACAGGTTTAGCATGACCAAGACTAACCATGCATATTCTATCATTTCCTACAGTTGATAAATAGCAAACTTGTAAATGCATAGCTCTTCAAATGAGGCATGACTCTTCAGAGCTGCTTCCCCATATTTGACACATCAAAGTCTTTCCCGCACAATGTATAGATGCTTCATGCTTTACCTTCATGCTTCGGATGGCAAGCAAGCCAGTCACTATAAGCTTCTATTCTTAATTACAAGTCATGAAACAGATCAAAAAGGTGTCTCACGCAACTGAGCTCGGTGACCGAGCTCACATAATTGGTTCTTCAATCAGAACGCAGGAAACAAGAGACTGCACACATAGTAAACACATGCAGCACAGAAAAACATGTCCTTTTCTCTTTTATTTGCTAATTCCATGACTTTCTATAACCTGAAATGAAATCCAATGACTTTCCAGGCCTGGAAAATGAAAAACCAAATTCCATGACTTTCCAGGTTTTCCATGGCTGGTTTGAACCCTGTATAGAATGAATTATATTTGTTGATATTCAATAATGACAAGTATCAATTATTCAATTTTATAAAATTTAACAAGATGTGAAGCATATTTCAAGTTTAGAATAGCCCACATACAGATGACAGCACCAGCAGCAGCAAGCAAATGGACTACTTTATTGTATAGTACCTTAGACTAATATGATAATAATGTCCTATTCTGTTTAGGCACAGTCTCTTAAAGTGTTCCAGTAACATATTTTCCATTACTAATTACCTATTTAAATTTATTTATATCTGGTGCAGTAAGATATTGCATTGTTTGATGTCACTGCGTCAAGTCAAGATGGAAGCTGTTTAGCGTTACGGACAATTGTTATTTGTGAATGAAATTTTCTATTGTAATATATATTTTTGATTGTGATATTGTGAATTATTTTGATTGTGATATTGACAGTATTGTCAACATTTGAACATCAAAGTTCTAACATCATAAGTCACAGGGTATAAGAGAAACAAAGGAGTGAAGTGGAAGGACTGAAATCAGGAGCTGGAAAGATGGCTGACTGGCTGAGCAAGAGCAACCAGTGATCATGAAAGTAAGTCATTGTCACTTTTTACATCATTGATATCATTTTGGAACCANCCAATTGTTATTTGTGAATAAAATTTTCTATTGTGATAGTGTAATATATATTTTTGATTGTGATATTGTGAATAATTTTGATTGACAGTATTGACAGTATATTGACAGTATTGTCAACAATTGAACATCAAAGTTCTAACATCATAAGTTATAGGGTATAAGAGAAACTAAGGAGTGAAGTGAAAGGACTGAAATCAGGAGCTGGAAAGATGGCTGACTGGCTGAGCAGGAGCAACCAATGATCATGAAAGTAAGTCATTGTCACTTTTTACATCATTGATATCATTTTGGAACCAACATGAGTAACTAAGGAATTTCCCAGTTAAAATCTTTACCGATTCATTTACATCAATTTTGAAACTCCACATATTTCTAGAGGGAGTTGCAATGAGACCATGGTGCATGGGGTTGGACAGTTACTGAGTTAGGTGTCAGACTGCATTGTGCACTGCATTGATAACTTGATATCTTATTTTGGCATCATTTCTTATTAGGTACTGCATGAAGGTAAATTTGTTCTGTTAACTTAGAGTTAGAGATAAATTACCAATGAATTAATATTTACCTAATATTTTGTTCTCTTAATCTAATTGAAATCTAGGTAGTACATCTTTAACTTTCATTCTTTCAGGTGCAATATCCAGGCTGTAGAGTAGGGCCTTTCAGCTCGAGATATTGGCGAGAATATAGGGATTTGGTAGGTTTCCATTCTAAAGGCTTTTTAATAAATATGGCAACATTTTGTGACGTTTCATCGTTGCTGACGCGTAGAGAAGTGTTTTGAGAGTCATGTGAAGGCAACAGAAGTTACAGAACTTACGTAACGCATACTGTTTTTTATAGTTTTTCATTTCTCGATGCGTCCTTAATGTGTCGGAATATAGGTAGTACGTACCGCGTTTACCCTAATGCATAGAAGTAAATTTGTTGTGTTAACTTAGAGTTAGAGACAAATTATTAATGAATTAATATTTAACTAATATTTTGTTTTCTTAATCTAATTGAAATCTAGGTAGATCTTTAACTTTCATTCTTTCAGGTGCAACATTAATTCCTCATTTGTCACATCATTTATAGAATTCCATCCTGCATAATATTCATTATACAATCATAATAAATTTCAAATAAAATTTAGTAGTACACAAATAGAATAAATTTGTTCTAATTGTTAGGTATTGGATTTTGAAAAATTGGAATAACTTATTGATTATTAAAACTAGAAATCAGCTGTTGTAGATTGCATTACTACTTCAAGTACTTGAAGTAGTAATGCATCAGAATAAGATTCGTATCATTCCACAATAAAGCAAAAACAAATTAAGTATTTTGCCTGCAAAAAAAATAACGTTTAGGTAGGCCTAGGCTACTAACCGAATCTGTTTTGAACTGTTGTCCTCTGGCTTGCAGATTTCTATCAGCTAAGGAGGCCGATTCATTGCCGCTTGATCCTTTAGCGCTGCTTAAACAGTTACCCATAATGGCTCCTTTAAATATTCATGAAATCATTGTTCTTACATAATATCTTAAAAATCCAATTCACAGAATCATACAGTTAGTGGATTTCCACTTGTTAGTCATCATCACATTTCACTTCTCCAGCGGTGTGCCATCAACACTGCCTGTCGACTGTCGAGTCGCGTCTGTACGATAGACAATCACCAAAATAAAATTTACAGGAACTAAAATTTATTAAAATAAATATCAATAAAGATTCTAAAACTACCATAACACTTAATACAAGAAAGAGAAAGTTAATGCATATTTTATTGAAGTATTGATGTTTTTAGAAGACTTAGTCATCAACGGAACTCCAGGCAAATTGTCAGCAGCGCATATAACGGTACAGAAACAGGTCTAAAGCCGTCCAAAAAAAGTCGTTTTTGATCATTTGTGCCATTGGTTCTTCATATAGGTATACAGGGGAAAAATAGGTTATTGTATCATTGGTACAGCAATAAATAAATTTTTGTCATATATTCTTTAAAATAAACCACGTTCAATATGTCCTTCATATAGATCTCATTGGCAAAATTCGTGTTCTAGTACAATTACGCCATTGGTAACATTTGTATTTATTCCAGCATATTAAATCATACCGAAAATGAATATAATTGTCTCGAGTGACCTGATTTGACTAATAACTATTTAGCTCAGTGATCAATTTCCTACACAAATAATTAAATACGCGGTGGCATTTAGTATTTCATTAAGCTTAAACAATTTATTTCATTTCTCGGCTTAATTAGTGACTTGTGCGACGCGGCTTAACTTTTGTGAGTTGTGACCAAGAATTTTGATTAAATTAACTCTAGGTAGGCCATTCGTGTATTTGTAGTTTGATTCGAACGAATTGTTTGCATAAAGAAAATCACGATATTTGCGATCTATTATAGATTAATTATGGCGGTTTCAGCGTTCATCAGAATTTTTGCCGATTCCTAACATTGATATTAATTTCAATTGTGTACACATTTATGTCTGTAGGAACGCTTCAGCTTCTACAACCCGACGTCGTCGGGATAACCTGCAGTTAAATCATTATATATTTGTAAAAGTTTGTGCATGTGCAGGTGAGTGAATCTAAACTTCTAAAGCCTGCTAATTCTTGGATTTGGGTGCAATATGAACGAGTATTCCAAGTACCCATCGTCCTAGGATATTAATCGTTTGTGTTTATTTTTTATTAGTGAAATCATCGCGAGTAGGGGGTTTATTAAAACTTGAAACTGATATTCATTTATTATGATGGCAGTGTAGACTAATTGATAAAGAGAAGACATTTATCGATATTTGATAACGGTAAAACGATTTGCGGTATTTGAAAATGGGATTCTCGGAATATGATAACAGCGTTCCCAGGATTCGATAAAGGCAAAAGGACTCTTAGAATGCTCTATAGGGTCTGATAAGCCGGCAAGTGTACAAATTTTCATCGCTTCCGATGACTATGAAACTATTTCCGTTACCCTGTCCATGCTCCCTTTCCCTATCCCTAATCATAACTCCTGAATGCAGTTAAACTTATTCACTCATTACATTGTCACCGTATTTTTACTTCAATTTAAGATATAAGACACCAGTCTTTCATTTACCTTTAACATACTAGATAGAAGGGTTGTTGCCAAACCAAATTCAAAGTAGGTAACACGGTTACCTCACAAGCAACGTGAGACATCCACCCGGCAACATCGGCGGCAATGAAATTATCGTCTGGATATATGATATTATTTCTTCCACAAATGATCCTGGTTTTGGAGCAGAACCTGTGACATTGCTCATTTTCACACAATAAAATCGTTTGTAAGTTATTCACCTCGATGGAACTCCCGCAGTGAAGAAAATCAAATATGTGGGCACTACATTTTTATTCAAGGTAAAAAATAAGTTTGCATTTAATAAGCACGGAAGTGGTCCTGAATATGCTTGCGTTTCTCGAAATGAATTGTGAATGGTAAAAGGAATTGGTAAATACTATGTATTAACATGCAAAGAAGTGGTTATAACCACACGTACAATTAAGAGGCATATTCATGCTCGACTTAGAGACTCAATTCATCATGGTTGCGTTAAAGACTCAGTGTTTTCTGTCACAATAAGTCTTAGATACAAGTGTAGCAATATATATAATATCATGATCCTGCATGTTCATCTGCAGCATGGGAATCTACGCCCCATTCATGTAAGAACTACTGGGTAAAAATGATCAAAACTATCAAAATACGTTTCGCAAGATCGTTCCGACATGAGTTTGAAAACTTTGCGAAAATGGTTATCAAGGCACCAGCGATGGTCAAAACATAGCACGCTACGTTGAGCAGATTGATAAGGCAGAAGGTCAACACACATCAACTACTTTTGATGCATGTCTACAAATAAAGATTCATTGTTCATTGAGTGGAACTAAGGAACGCCTGTCCGAGTAATTTCTCCTAACAGGCTTGGAACCTCTAGACGAGATGTTAGACGTTAGAGGTCAGATATTGTAATAATGCCACGTACGCCCTTCAATTGAAACTCATGTTATCCAAAACATCATACAATTCTCGCTTGCCAACTGGGCCCGGTCGAATGAGTTCAGACAGTAAACTATGTGGAAAAATACTTTTTTTTAACTCGCATGATCACAACTTGCATGAAGTTGGCATCCTAGTTAGTTTGGCGGTATACTAAAACAACCTTTCTGCAATTTGTATATCAATGTCGGTTTAAAAAGTTAAAATTCCAATTATACATCATTACTTGAGTAGTCTTTTTGCTTGAAGTTGACCTAATATTTTGTTAATAAATGGCCGGAGCATTATACTGATCATGACGAAAACTACAGTTGGCGGCGTTCTACATATTATAATCCTCATACGATTCGGATGTCAGCCATGATGGCCCCAAGCCGATGACTATCATGGAACGTAGTTGTTTATTGTAACAGTAGCATTTAAATGCTCAACGTAGTAATACATCTGGTAGAAGTAATACAGTCTCGAACTCACAACTCTCTGCTACAATTCTGCTGTGCTTAACCGCCCGGCCTTCTCGCCGATTCTGACCAGAAACTGGCACACAGAGCTGGGATCGAACCCGCGCCTCTCTGCTCCAATCTTGGTACTCTGCATTATATTTATTTATTATAGCTTCCTAAGTGCTTATAGCTGATATATATTTTTCTAGGTGCAATGAACAGATTGGATCACTAATTGGAACTTTGTTGCTCAATGACGTGAACATAGTGTTAAATTATTGAACCTTTTTGTCCAGATGGAGATTAGCAGGCTATGAACTGTATATGCATGTAACCCCTGGGCCTGAGATGTTCATGGTTGCCCTCGCGTCGCCTCCGCCGAAGTGGACGACGAGTTTTATCAACTTAACCATCACCCACACTACATCACTACATTTTCAATAGTAGTTACATTAAACCTTCTGATACCTATCATACATGTTGATTATATAGGTACATATGTTGCATTCTGGCACTGCCACATAACCTAATATGGCAGACAAAATCCTGGAGCAATCACGGAATTTTTCTTTAGCAACGAAATAATGGCATCGAGAAAATTCGACATTATTTATTGCCAGCCTTCTGTTTCCGAACTATTTCAATGCTGCAATTGATATTTAGTACATAGAAACTATGGTTATCTACATCTATATAACTGTGCTATTTTATTTTATTAATTTATATTAACGTACAAATTTTGGAATAGGTCATCTAAAATATCAATTAATACAAAGTGAGAATGTATTTTGTACACCTAATCTTTGGCGCCCCAAGAACAGGCGAAGTGTTGACAATCTCACCGTTTCAAGATGTGGATCCACTGCTAAACCTAAATAGATGAATGGTAGCAAGGAAATAGATTTAAAGACATTTAAGTTAAAGCATTTATTTATCATTTAAATAAAAAATGAGGACATCGTCGCTAGGAAAGCACCATTGATGACACTTTCAATTTTTCTGTAGTTTGGCTGAAGACGTCACAAGTCGACGGTGTAAACTAACCCACGAAGCGTACTAACTTCGTTCAACAATATTGTACAAATTACTTTGGAACTTACACGAAGCGTGAGTAGTTTATAGTGAATGTCAAATGAAAAATACTTCTAACTGATTGTAAAAGTGAACGTTATAATTTCACGTGCAGTAATTCTTCTTCTGATTTTATAGAAGAAAGATAAATTGTTCGGTTATTTCCAGAGCTTAAAAGTCTAAATGGAGCATGACTCACTTGTGGAGCATGACTCACTTGTGGAGCATGACTCACTTATGGAGCATGACTCACTTATGGAGCATGACTCACTTATGGAGCATGACTTACTTATGGAGTCATACTAATTTATTTATTCTACCAATTTGCAATTAGTGGCAGAAAGGAAGAAAGTCAGGAAAGCTCATCCAAACTTTTTTGTAAAGACGATATTAAAAAAAAAACATTTCCTACTTAAACATAATAAAATACAAGTTTTAGCGGTCGACACTTAACAGGAACATAAAACGCATGGAAACGAACTGTTTGTAAAATATAAATAAAATTCATAAAAGATTCATCCGTAACATTATTAATTTCCAATGATTTGTTTTATTCTAGAAATTCATAAAATTTTGTAACAAATTCAATTTTGAAACAAAAATATCCGCAAATAAATATCCAATTGTAGACTAATATAATCTTCGGACAAGTTTAATTCAATCAACATATTGCCAACTTTTATTTAAGATTTTTTCCATAACAATCAATAACAGGAATTGTGGTGAGAGATTCACTGGTCCTCTTGATTAATTAAAAATTAAGATTCCCTGGTCCTCTTAATTAAGAACGGCACGCCTTATCTTCTTGCCACGGCCAATATTTTAATATCTATTTTACTAATGTTCAGGGCCGAGTAAATGCTAATCAAGTTCATATTCACACACAAAATTCTATTCATGAACAAGAACGAGGATAGAAACAACATATTTTAAAAGCATTTCTCGTCTGAAACATTGCAATTCTTGGGCTGGTTTGCCCTAACAAGAAGATTTAACATTTACTACGAGCGAGACTTCGGTAACTCATTGGAACGACGCAAATAAATACGTACTGTAACTTAAAAGAAACTTAAGAATTAAGCTTGAAGTACATAATATATGTTCAAACTTTAATAATGCACGGCATTTAAAAATGCAGAAGTTGCATCCAGAAAAGCAACGTTTTACGTATAAACTTATAATATTGAATTTTACCATTACATCTTTTGATTGCTTCTGAAAACTGTTAATCGTGAATGAAAGATACATTAGTAACGAAGTATACAAAGTGATCATAACTGCACATCAAAGACTTTACATAAAAATCAGGGTTAATTTAAGAAATGAAGCAGCGAAATAAATATCAATTTATACATACAACATTCACGTATTGACTGCCAACAGGTTACGACAAACCTTCGATGAAAAGTTCTCCTAAGTTGGCTACTCAAGTCAGCCTGACATATTAATAAACCTGCAGTTTATATAAAATTTTTGCTCACAATTTCCTAACCAATAAAAGCACATGAACAACTCGCTCGACTTCTAACAAACAATCCCTAACAAAATTTAGAGTCGCCCCAGCTTCTGATTTGGATTACCAGAAGCTGATCAAAATGCTGATCAAAAATTGTGTTCAAGGCGGAATGCTCAAAACATTCTACTTCAAACAATAAATAAGCAAAAAAATACAAATTTGGAAAAGTTCGGAGTTTTCGAGCCAATTTTTGTTCGCTGCTCAAGCAGCTACATTAGGCATCATATTCTTCATAGTTGAATAATAACAATATTCTGGTCTAGCTGCATAAAACATTTGTCAAACACAGCCCAACTTATCTGGTAAGTTCTACGTTTCTTACAACTAGTATTTAATGGTCGATTGTAAATCTTAAGGGAATTCTGGTAGATATTAAGACCTGGGGCCATACTTTCAAATCTTGCTAATTGAGCGTAAGTACTTACGCTCTATTTTCTTGTCTATGATTGGTGGATTTTGCTTGAAAGGCCGTCAATGATTGGCTGATGAACTTACGATCTCTTAACTTTTTTTGAAAGTATAGGCCCTGGAAGCGGACATGCAAGCATTTAATATAGGAGCTTCTGAACACTGGCAGGATCAGCGCGGGACACTGATTAAGTACTGAGAATGTTACGAGTTCGTATATTGAATATTATTATTAAATTTAGCTTGATCATAATCATCTTCATTATCACGACCATCACAACTCGTCATATAAATAAATAACCAGCGTTGAATTTGATAAATTCATGTTGATTTTACGAGCGCGCTTTTCTGGAGTCGCGGCAAATTACGGTCGAGGTAATCGGAGGCAAAATTTGATGAATTTTCTCTGATGAAAATGAATGTGAGAATAAAAATAAGATGCTTCACTAGCAGGAAAATTGCTGCAGGAAACTTGCAGAGACTTTTCGGATTGAGCAAAAAGGGAAACATCGAATATTAGAATTGACGTTAAGCCTCACACATATCATCAGAATTTATAATGGATTGATTAACTTTTTCCTGAACAGTGGAAGCAAAATTTTGGGACTCGAGAATTCCCGAAAAATGAACTGGTCAGATAAAATAAAAAATAATGAAATAGATAAAATTAATCAGATAAGAAAATATGCGATGGAAAAAACCTTTACATTTTGATGAAGCTACATGACAGCCAGCCACAGCGCTTCGTCTGCAAGAGTCTGACTGAATCCGCAGCAACGGATCAGAATTTATAAGATGAAAGTTCGAAAAAAAAACTTCCATTGACAAATTGATCAAATTTCAAAATTTGTTCCCTTCTGAAATGAGATCGCGAGGACAGCTTACAAAGTGATCGAAAAAATTTTTCAGGAACCTCAACTTATTACAAATCCACAACGGTAAGTCACAGTACCGCAGTTGAATTTGGTTAACATCTTGCATGATTTAGAGATGATACGAGTACCGTTAATTAAGAATGACACAATCTTGTCTTTCCTTCGAAATACAATGATTTTTTTTACTTTTTTGTCATCAAATCAACGCAAGAAATGTAGTGGTTTAAATTAGTCGTTTGTAAATTACTTTGGAGATGATTTGAGTACCGTTGATTAAGAATGACACAATCTTGTCTTTCCTTTGAAATACAATGGCTTTTTTCCTTTTTTTTTATCATTAAATCAACGCCAGAAATGTTGAGGTTTAAATTAGTCGTTTGTAAATTACTTTGGAGATGATACGAGTACCGTTGATTAAGAATGACACAATCTTGTCTTTCCTTTGAAATACAATGGCTTTTTTCATTTTTTTTTGTCATCAAATCAACGCCAGAAATGTTGTGGTTTAAATTAGACGTTTGTAAATTACTTCAATATGAATAATAATGAGCAGCTGACGTCTCAAGGCACGGACATATTACTATAGCTAAACCTATGCAAAACAATACGTTACCAAGTCATAGAGGCTTTAATCATAAACTCTCAATCATAGTTTTGATCACTATTTCTTAAAGCTAATTTTCAATGCTGGCCTCCATAGTTAATTTAACGAAGATATTCTGATAATTGAGTTTCAAAGTAAATTTGGGATCGAACGAACAAAAAAAAGGTGAAGTCAAGCGGTCAATTGAAGTTTCGATCTTCGGGCCACATTAAAATAAAATAAATTTCTTCGTAATTCCTTATGAAAAATTACAAAAAAGTTGGTTTGTCACTTGGAGAAAAATCGTGGCAGAAAATTCAGAAAAAAATCCAACCGTAGAGAATTTCGGATCTGAATTTCTCTACGGTTGGATTTTCTCTCTGAATTACGCTTCAGATCCTAACGCATCTGAATTTCGAACAAACGGTTTTTCTCATGACATGCAATGATGCAGGTGAAGTCAACCGTTTGATGACGATGATGGTACAAGGCATCATCGGTGGCAGCAAATGCCCACTAATTCATTATTCAAGGCTCAGAAAAAGTTGCGGTGACCCTAAAAAAAAGTAACCCTAAACCCCTCTTGGCTAGGGTTCAAGCCGCTGAACTTGAACCTGAAATAGCGACGATAAAATTTGTTACAAATTAACGCGTCATGCGAACTAATAGATGGGCATCATCATTTTTAGCGCATTTTCTCATTTATGGAAAAAATGCGCTATTGCGCTCGTCATGTCCGCCCATCCGTCCGTCCGTGATTTCACGGACGGACGAGAAAATGCGCTCTCCAGCTGTCGCTCACTGCAGTGAGTACTGAACTAATTTTTTTATATCTTGAATTTGATCGAAAGCAATGCATTAGTTTCAAACTCCTGCAATTCCCTAATGACTGGGACTATTGCTGCGAGACGACAATATGTGGGATTTCATCGTATTCGAAGCATAGAAAGCACGTATACGAAATAAATGTTAGACGTTTATTACATGAAATAGGAATAAAGATAAAGTTTATGCCATGCACGGAGGCAGAGTTGGTGCTAGTTAAGAATGAAGTGACCACAACCAAGCTCCACGACACTGTACAAAAATATAGTTCTCCTTACGACTCTACAGAAAAGATAATACGCAACACTTCTATAAAATAGAACACTGTGAACCAATGCTAAAAAACGTCACAAACTTATTCCTTAAGGTTACGATTAAAACGTGATTTAAACGTCTCACGAAGCCTAATAACCTTCTCATTAAAACCTGATTTAAATGTCTCACCTATCCTATTGTAACATCTTCAATAAATCAAAATTAACACGTATCTCAAAGCTCCATAACCCGTTTACTATTGCGAAAGCCCTTCAATCGCAAAAATCAATACGGAACACGAATGTCTTCAATTATAAAGTAAAGTAACGAGCACTTACGACTAATGGACTAAGAACTCTGGTATACAGAGCGTTCTTGATAGAACACGACCACACAGATCGCTATAGGAACACACAACTGTGTTCCATGAGAACGTACACACTGTTAGAAAAAACGGTCCCACCGGCGTTCTAGTGGCAGGTCGCCCCGTGAAAGTAAACTGTTTCTCCGTTATTATCAGATGTTTTACGGTTTTCTAGTGTAAAATTAGAAAAACGATCAGTTCAACGCCCTGGCAAAGAAAGTATCACTAATATAATATGGCTTCGACTTGAACTCACAATTCTCGTGTTATGGATGCGAAGTAAACGAAATACGAGACGGGAAAGGGTAGCTAGGAAATGTTCCCTGCCTTCGAGTGTGGGGCGATATGGCATCCAGTGACTGGTACGACAACAATAATTAGCTATAACCAAGAGCGCACGAAAGAAATGAAAAAGTTTAACAAACGCTACTTGTGTTTACACGTTGTTTTACCATCCAAGGTTCGTTTGTAGAGATCAAACTGCTCCGCGTATCCTACCATATGAATAGATATAATGTCCATAACTTTACATGTGTTCGTCAACGAAGTTTTATCGTTCTTAAAGCGGGCATCACCCACTCTCCTTATGCCCAGGAACTCGCCCACGATGCCCGTGGTGAGAACATCTTCAAGGAAGAGATAAGTCGTATCTAAAAGTTGCTCTAACATCTCGCTAACGATGTCCGACGTGAAAAGATACGCTGGACCCGTGGTAAAATCGGGAAAAGTTTTTAAGCTATAATGAGAAGGATCTACGTAATATTTTGACTTCTTATTTCTTATGGGCTTCCAGTTGTGCGCCAAGCGTCCGAAAATGACTCGTTTCTGGTTCTTCTGAGACTCGATGAACGCCAACAGAAGCGGCATGTTAATGAACATGTCATCGTCGGTTTTGAGTACAAAAGGAACTTCGGAACAATACGTTTGTATCCACTCGAACATGGATACGGTTTTCAGAGTAAGATTTCTGTACTGATCGATGTTGTTGCTCTGAATGACGTCACCATAAAGGACATTCTCCTTATCAATTTCGGCCTGGACATCGGCAGTGGTGGCACCAGCGAGGAATGCCAACGCCACGTCCCGCCTGAGGGAGAAGTGGCCCCAGGTCTGACGGATGGCACTGCGCTTCTGACGATGCACTGGGGCGGTCGTCACCAGGATCAGGAGGCTCAGGTCGCGCCCGTTGTTAGGGCAAATATATTCATGGGGGGCGGAGAAACCGCCCGTGTAAATGTCGCCAACCTGAGGGAGAGAAAAACCGTTACCATGAGAATAATCGTAGCGAACCTACTGTGGAATAGTCGTGATTAAGGATTGAACGACAATCTCTGCATGATGATTAAGCCACAACATCCATTAAATTTAATAATTACTGAAACATATCATTCATCAATGGTTAAAGAGATAACTACAATGAGTCTAAAACCTAATTGCAAATGAATACTCGTATTTGCCAGTAGAACGTTTCAGAAATTATTCGGGTCAGAGAGCAAATTTCCTACCTTGACAGTTCCCTTGAGGTAGTTGATGGCTTGTGTCTTGCTCTTGCCGGTGAACTTGGACAAGATTTTTGTGCTTGCCGTCACTTTGCCTTTTGTTGCTTTCTGACTCGTGAGAACTTTAGGGATATCTTTAGCGATTGATGCTGGAGGAGCAACTGCAGCAGATACATTAGCACCCTTTGCTGCAGATACAGTAGCGTCCTTTGCTGCAGAGGCAGAAGGGTTCTTTGCTGCAGAGGCAGAAGGGTTCTTTGCAGCAGAGGCAGAAGGGTTCTTTGCTGCAGAGGTAGAACCTTGTGTAGCTAGAGGAGTAGGCAAAGCAACAAAAGCGGGCGCTTTGACAATCTTTTGCCCATCAGAATTAGTCGATTTGTTCGCAGTTACTGAAGCTTTGCCACCAGATGCGTTGGTATCAGTGCTATTATTTGATTTGGAAACATTACCGTCTGAGGACCCCGTTAATTTTTCGTCCGTAGAAATTGGCTTGCTTGCCTTAACATTTGCTTGTTTATTTCCAGTATTTTCGGGTAACGCTACAACACCTGTTGGCTGTTGGCCGGTGGGCGCAACAGACAAATTATCAGTGGCAACAGATTGCGTTTTGTTAGTCGTGTCTGCGGCCACTGACTGTTCATCCTCTAGCACTAACGCATTTTTTTCCACAGAAGCCACTTGGGTTGGAGATGCCTCGTTCGGAGGAGAAGCATTGCTGGAAGGGGGAACGCCGCTGGAAGGGGAAAGGCCACTGGAAGGGGAATGGCCGCTGGAAAGGGGAACGCCACTGGATGGCGGAACGCCGCTGGAAGGGGAAGGGTCGCTGGAAGGGGACGGGCCACTGGAAGGGGAGAGGCCAATGGAAGGGGACGGGCCACTGGAAGGGGAAAGGCCAATGGAAGGGGAATGGCCGCTGGAAGGGGAATGGCCGCTGGAAGGGGAATGGCCGCTGGAAGGGGAAGCGCCACTGAGAGAAGCAACGTCGATTCCCGCCTCTGCGCTGGGAAGGCCACCTGTACAAGTAGGCAATTCATAAGTTCCAGCGATTGCCTAAGTTCCAGTTGAGTTAAGCGATTGCATAAGTTCCAGCGATAAAAAAGTTGTCAGATATTAAAGTCAATTTGAAACGGCATTTTTTGGCACCTACGATTTTAATAATCAACATTGTAATGCAACAGTAGTTGTGCATGTATGCACAATTACTGTAATACCGTAATACCTGCAAAATACGGTGTGAGGTTTAGTTATAAATTTCCAGTAAGATGAGTTAGGAGACGAATAATAAGTTGAAGGAATTTCTCTGAAGGAGAACTGTTTCTCGTTCGAATTGAGCCTCTCCCTAGCTAAGAGAATGCCATTATCCATATATCATATTATCTAAGAGAATATCATTATCCATCTCACCGAATTCGAAGGAGCAATTCGCAATAGTATTTTGCACGAATTTCAACAGTTAACTAACATCTCGTTATGACTCGTTCAACCTTCATCGTACCAGTTGTTACGCAATGATCTATACTCTTTTTGACCTACAGCAAATATCATCTTTTAAATAATCACTTTTTCGCGTGACGTTTGACAATAATGATTTAGAAAAAAAGTGTGAAGGTATTGTTGAAGAAAAATTGTCTCCCGTTCGGTGGATGCAAGCAGCGGCGCAGACTTGAGCCACATTTGGCTCAAACGTCATTTAATTGTTGATAATTATTGATAAAAAGAATAATGTTAATGGTTATTGATAAGTTAATACCAATAAAATAAGTCGCGTTTACTAGGTAATCAATAAAACAAATTAAACCTAGCTACGACGCAGTGCGATAACCGTCCAAATCCTAAAACGACTTATAATAATATATGAAAAATTTGTAATAAATACTTCCGTTCATGTAGAAAAATAGAGGCTATTAGCAAAGTATCTATAGGCAAGAAATCATGTATAATCAGACGTGGGCAGTAGCGCGCTACATGTAGCACATTTTCAGTAGCGGCAGAAGTAGCGGCGCTACATTTAAGCAATTGTAGCGGTAGCGGTAGCGCCCGCTACATTTAGAGCATGTAGCGGTAGCGGTAGCGGCCGCTACATTTCAAAGTAGAGCTGCCCAGCTCGATCTGTGTATAATATATACAAATATTATGAGTAGGCATACAAGGTAATCAATGACAGCCGGTCGCAGTGCCGCCTGACTCGTCAAATCTTATGATACTCAATTAATTTTATGATATTATTATTGCTGATGCCATAGGTTGATTATTAGGTTAATTATTAATATTATATTATTATTATTATTATTAATATTATTATTAATAGATCAAGGCCGGGTCCCGATTGCATGTAGGCGAACGACTTGCCGACGTTAAAACAACTCAAATTTATTAAATGTCACCTGTTCCAGCAAATAGGATTTCAAACGAAAATCATCAAAAGGAAATGAAATGCGTCATTAATTATGGTCATTCAATACCAGGAAAATCTATTCAATAGCTGATAAGACCGGGAATTAATAATTTTTTCTACTTAGTAAAACAAATTCCACTTAATCATAATAATGCGATTAGAAGTTTGACCGCCGTAAACTAGGCCATTTTAACCTATACATTCAACACGGAGAATAAATATAAGTCAAGGTCCTCGCTCCTTAAAAGATTAGCGTCACTTTTTCATGCCCAGCCTTGAGCGTGCGCAAGTGAAACACACGCCAGCCGCGACACTGGTCCCGTGGTCCCCCGTGTCCCGTGGTCTCCCGTGTCCCGTGGTCACCCGTGTGCCGTGGTCCCCGTATCCCGTGGTCCCCGCGTCCCGTGGTCCCCGCGTCCCATGGTCCCCCGCGAGTCCCATGGCGTAGGGCCCCCCCGCGTCCCATGGCGTAGGGCCCCCCCAGCGTCCCATATGACGTCCCGCGTCCCATATGACGTCCCGCGTCCCATATACCAATTAAGCACATTAAAGGTCACACGCTGTGTGTGCTCCCAATGACATTAAGATAGGTCATCGCACCTCGTGTTTAGGTGGACGAACAGCCGTCGATGGATAAAAATCTCTTGTTTATAATGAACGCGGAGGCCTGAGATTTGATAGCAGAAAATACACGAGCTTCTTCGTAACTTGTGTAGGAGACCAGCGTGCGAATACTGTTTAGAAATTACTTTATATTTATAGTCATTTGTGAATAATACAGACTGTACAGCACCCCGCTATTAACTATTAATTACAGACTGTATTAATTTAAATTGTTGAGTTATACACGGACGAATCGTCGACAGATGGAAATTTTTTCGGAGTACGCGGGTGCCAGAAGCAAATTTTTCGAACCATATAAACTGACATGAAATTCTTGCTTCAAACATAACATAACATAGTGATCTCGGCGCTGAAGTGTAGGTCTGATGTGGCATATACTCATATATACATACTCTTACTTATATATACAACCATATACTCTTTCATCCAGCGCACAATTTTCAAGTTCCCGAACTGCATTATTAAAACGTCGCCAGAATAAATACTGAAGTCGACTATATTGCTCCATGCATTCATCGCAACTAATAACAATATCTGACAGGAATAACAAGCAGGCCATGGAACTGCGTCAGGAGTTCGGTGTGGGGGTGGTGGAGAAGTGATTGCAAGTGGCTGAGTGAATGGCTGATAAATAATAAATTAGTCAACGGATATATAAAGCGTCGGCAATGCTATTCGTATCTAAAACTCTAGTAAATAGACTGACCAATATTATATAGGGAGGGGGTCGGAAGTGCTGCAATATCTGACAATCAATATTAAGAGCTTCTTGGAAACCTATGTCGGTGCAACTATAGCTGGTACCTAGACAACTGGTATACAACTAGCCTCGCTGGTACAACTAGCCTCGCTGGTACAACTAGCCTCGCAGGTACAACTAGCCTCGTTGGTACAACTAGCCTCGCTGGTACAACTAGCCTCACTAGTATAACTAGTCTCGCTGGTACAACTAGCCTCGCTGGTACAACTAGCCTCGCTGGTACAACTAGCCTCGCTCAACTACCGTAGATAGTGGGAGANTGCCTCACAACCCTTCTACGCTTTTCTGCCTCACAACTCACGCCCTTATGCCTCACAACCCTCACAACAACCCCCCCCCCCTGAGGAGGGCTGTCAAGGACGAGGTATAACAGGACTTCTCTGGAAATGTGGCGACATCGTTAATCCTTCAGGGAATTGTGATCTACACTCACAACCACGCACTGGAGTCCTACGAATATGATCAGTTGCCTTACGAAACTCGAACTACTGCACTCTATTTTCAAGAATTCTTTTCAATAATAAGCCCATAGAGCGGTTATTTCTAAAAAATGAATAGAAAATCGGTGCAAAGACTATAGGGCAGAGCAACGTCGAGTTGAAAGTGAACGCAAGAGCACAACCGGCAGCCCGAATATTGATGCCCACGTAAAAACTATAATTGGTAATCCGAGCTTTGCTTTCCAAACACATCCTCTTACGGAGACTGAATGAGACCTGGGCACTAAGAAGGAGACAGGATGAAGTTTAGCTGCATGTGCTGGCCTATTGAATAATAAAGCCGATACAACGATGGCCACTGATTGGCCACCCATGTAAAGGCTGCAATAAGCTGCACCCTGAAACACGAGGCCATTTCTTCGCTGGCCGCCCATAAACCGGGTATAATTTTCTCACAATTCACTGCAAGCTAGGACGAAGGGGTCGTATACTCAAAATAATTGCGACATCGCATATTAATTTTCAGTAGAGAAAATTTAAATATAGTAAATTACGACTCTAAACTGGGTAGAGCAACAGAACTTAACCCTCTACCGCCGTGTGTCACTCTCCGGGAACATAACTTACAACTTAAATTATACGTAAACTATTGTGTGTAGCAACCTGAGGACGTTTGTACGCAACAGAGAACATTTTAAAGTTGTACGCGGCGGCAACCATCAGTGTAAGTCATTTAGCGCTCACTAGAACGTATCTTTTTTGGGAAGTAGGCTTGTGACAATATTGTTCCGGTTAAAATAATAAATGAAAAATTTGCAAGATAATATTTCCGGTCATGCAGAAAAATAGAGGCTGATAGCAAAGTATCTATAGGCAAGAAATCATGTATAATCAGAGGTGGGCAGTAGCGCGCTACATGTAGCAAACCGTCGATATAGCATATCGTCGCTAGAGCGCACGACGAAAGTGCGAGTGTCGGAGAGACGACCTTGTAAGTTGCGCAATCGAGGTAGATCTCACATCAGCAGGTAGATCATGCGTAGAGCTTCACCAGTAGGTAGATATTTGATCAGCAGGAGTTAATTGAAAGATCAGAAGGAAAGTAAGTCATACACATGAGGAGCTCGAGTGGAGACCTCTCATTATCGATTATAAATTTTAGAGTGGATGAATTTGTAGAGGATAATTTTTTGCAAACTTTCATCAATTGTTGTATACACATCGTTGGAAAATCTGGTAATCGAATGCTTAGCTCACAATTTCAAAAGAACAAGTGAATGAAAAAGGTCCAAAAAGCGTGTGTAGAACCAACATTTCCTATTATTATTGAAATGTGGCTGAATCTTTCGAAAATAATATTGAAAGGTAATGATTAAGAAAACCAAGCCAAATATTGCTAAAGCGCGAGGTAAGACCTATTATATCTATAAGAGGCGACAGATTATTGGCTTATGCTGAATTCTACAACAGCAAAGCTCTTAGACGGAAACAATACTCATAGCAGTTCTATCAAATAATACATATAATGTTAGACAAAATACAACGGAGGCTTTTAAATGGCGCATTATTTAAATATGTGCGCCTTAAAGACAACCTTTAAGTCGCACATATGCTTGTGACAGAGCAGCTATATAAGACAAAAGAATCAATGCCTTGCAGCAACGATGACATACAGTGAACGCTCGTTATTTCCACATCTTAATTACCTTCACACACGAGAAATTAGCGCTGGGGGAAAAAAAGTTGCTCGCTTTGAAGATAAACACATAAAACAAATATAAAAGTATGCCTATTACATGAAAACTTTCAATTGAGACGTACCTACATTCTTAACAAGAAAGAGAGCAAAGCATATAAAATACATATAATAAAGTGCTTTTTTGAAGGCGGACTTCCAGAAGAGATGTACATTATTAAGAAGTACGTGGTTTTCGATCTAGTAGATTACACATTCTTTACAAATATACGAGTGAGCAAAATACAAAAATACGTACGATAACATGCTTCTTAGATACGAGCTTTCAGTAGCAATGAGGCTGATAAATAATAAATTAGTCAACGGATATATCAGGCGTTGGCAATGCTATTCGTACCTAAAACTCTAGTGAATAGACTGACCGATATTTTATAGGGAGGGGGTCGAAAGGAGCGCAATACCTTGCCAGTCAATGTTAAGCGCTTCTTGGAAACATATGTCTGTGCAACTATATTTACAACCTACACTGGTACAACTAGCCTCGTTGATATAACTAGCCTCCACTGGTACAACTAGCCTCGCTGGTACAACTAGCCTCGCTCAACTACCGTAAATAGTGGGAGAAAGCGTATAATACCTGTTAGCTTGAAACAAAAAATGTTCGGTGGAGCTGCCTTCGCTGACGCTGGTCTTACGCTTACAGTAAATGCAACATGTATTGCATATTACATTAGAACACGCCAAGTGCAAATGGTGCGCGTTTCGCAAAGAAAGATAGAAAATGTGTCCTAAAATGACACCACAAACGTTATGTATTGCTTGTAACGAACAAGTTACGCGTGCTACCTATAAACTAATTAAGGAAGAATGCAACTAAGAATAAGAATGCAACTAAGAAATTCTGAAGCGTGTTTTCAACATAAGTTTACAGAATAAAATTTACGATGGCGTTTCCAATGAGAAATCTAAAACATTGAAATTTACACAGAATTTCCAATGTTCAACCAGAATTTTTTTTCATATACTTCCTAACTATACATACTTTCCAGGAAGTAATACGTAACAAATATCGGGAGAAATGTTTGGAGCTTTGGCGCCAGCCAAGTGTTTTGGGGGCACATAAAGGTGCAGAGCTAAGACCTGATACACCACACCCCTGCCTCACAACCCTTCTACGCCCCTCTGCCTCACAACCCTTCTACGCCCCTCTGCCTCACAACCCTTCTACGCCCCTCTGCCTCACAACCCTTCTACGCCCCTNTAGATCATGCGTAGAGCTTCAACAGTAGGTAGATATTTGATCAGCAGGAGTTGGATGACCAGAAGGAAAATAAGTCATGAGCATGCGGAGCTCGAGTGGAGGCGTTGGTGCAAAGGTGCTTCGCTCTGTGGATGCATTCACATTTTTTTGCGTGCCTTATACACCTCTAATTATCGATTATATTATTTCGAGTGGATGAATTTGTAGAGGATAATTTGTGCGAACTTTCATCAATTGCTGCATACACATTGTTGGAAAATCTGGTGATCGATTGTTGCTGTAGGTGCTCACAATTGGTGAAAAAACTGTGAATGAAAAAAGTCAAAAAAGCAGGTGTAGAACCAACGTATGCTTTTATTCTTGGAAAATGGCATAATCTTTCGGAAATAATATTGAAAGATAAAGATTAAGAAAACCAAGCCAAATATTGCTAAAGCGCGAGATAAGACCTGTGTATATTTTGCGCCTACAGGGCCCATACTTTCAAAAAAAGTTAAGTGATCGTAAGTCCATCAGCCAATCATTGAGGGCCACGCAAGCAAAATCCACCAATCATAGACAAGAAAATAGAGCGTAAGTACTTACGTTCACTTAGCGAGTTTTGAAAGTATGGCCCCAGGGCAACAGATTAATTATTGGCTTACGCTGGATTCTACAACCGCAAAGCTCTTATAGGCAGAAACAA